TATATATATATACGTGTTCTTTTTTTGAAAGTCTGATATAATGTGTGCAATGTGAAAACAGAAAACCTTTGAGAAGGTGTTCTGGTGTTCAGGGAGTGTACGTGACTAAAAACATACCACCATAACATTAGTAATGTGCACTCACTAAAAGAGTTCAAGACTTTAATCTGCTTTCTGTTCAAAAATAACCACTTGGTGAATTCAAAGTTGGTGTGTCACAAAGCTTTGTGTCTGTGTCTGCAGTATGATAGCTTAAAATATAGACAGGCGGACTGGTGGAGCAACACTGTTGTTTTATTATTGCACAAATGCATAAAATAACTCCCTTTTCAGTCCCATATTTGTGGTTGTTAAAAGTAGGAATTTACATGAAAATTAGAAAAGAACAAGACATTGTTACCTTCAAACAAAGCAGAATGCAGGGGATAAAAGGTAACATTGATTAAATCATCCTGATATGGTATTAGTATCCTAATATGTTAAAACATCAACCAACATTACCTTGTTATTATGGCATTACTTTAAAGTAACTATATACACGGATCTTACTGCTGTTATTGCTAGCAGGTGATCACATGGTTACTTATATATTACTGACTAATTTTGCCTCATAAGCAAATGTTTGCTGCCACATTATTAGCCCCAGATTCTGGCCTCTTAGTCTTTTACATATATTTCAGCTTAATATTATTCAGGTATAGCCATTTTTTAAGACATATTACTTGGTTATTAGTTGCATATTGCTTTGGTAATTAAGTAATAATAACTTATTTTTCCACTATTACCTTCTTATTTCAACCTTATGACCACATTATTACTTAGCAGGAAACTAAAGTACTGTCTACAAAGTATTCAAAAAAATAGACAAAAGACAAAAGTGGTCTTTGTCTTATGCTATACTTTTAAAAATATATATATAAATCTTCTTACAGTATCGATTATACGTGGTTTACTAAAAGCACTTCATACATGTGGTTTATGTTTATGTACTAAAATATATACAGTATTGTGCTTCTTGTCCTCAAGAGAGCAGTATTGATTCACGATGTAGTCTGAAAATTACCTCTTCTTTCTGTTTAATGGCTTCATATGGTGATTTCAGAGCAAGACTGCTACTCTCTATCTACAGTTTTTTAGCGTAAGGTTTGTAAGTTTACTATACTACAGTAATACAAGATTGAATTAAAATAGAAACTCTTCAATAGAAACTCTCCAATGTGAACAATTTCCAGTAATGTTGGAAGCACAAGTAAAATGACAAACAAAGATGAGAAATTTATGTCAGATTCCCTTGCACCAGTTTAATGTGTGTATCTTGTTGGCCATTCTCTAAGCTATATTCTGTTCTCAGGCCTCATCTTGTTGTGAATCCCTCTCTACTTCAACACGTATTTCCTCATAACCTCTAGATCTGAACCCTGACATCCTCCTCCTCCTCTTGAATAGGACCACTGCCACTATGACCACAATCAGCATTATACCCATCACCCCAAAAACTACACCTGCCTTTTTTCCATTAGACATTTGATTGACTTCAGGATTAAGGCCACGAACAATTTCCTGGATTTCTTCTGGTTTGGCAAGTTTCCACTTCTTGGTCTGGCCCACTCTCACCCAGCTGTTTTCTCCTTCAGTCATTACCATCACTGTGTTGGTGGCTTGCATGCTGATAAGTGGAGGTTTGGTGAACGGAGGCAGATGGATGGGTTTCAGCTCTCCACCTGTGAACAGTCCAGACTGAACACAGTAGAGGATTTCACAGCCATCACTGATTGCAGCAAGGTGCTGACTGAACTTGGGAGGGCA